ACTCACAAGTGGTTGTTGAACAATGAGAACACATGGACACAGAGAAGGGAACATCACACACTGGGGCCTGCTGGTGGGTGGGAGAGCTAGGGGAGGACTAGCAGGGGGTGGGGGAGTGGGGAGGGATAACATAAGAGAAATACCTAATGTAGATGACGGGGGGATGGATGCAGTAAACTGCTATGCAAGTGTATACCTATGTAACAATCCTGCACGATCTGCATATATGCCCCAGATCTTAACGTATAATAAAAAAAAAAAAAAGAAAAAGGAGAGAAAGAGAGAGACAGAGAACCTGTCAAAAACTGCAAAAGTAGCTACTGTTTTAAGCAGGGATAAATTGAGGGAAAAAAATGCAGTCAGTAGTAAATTCTAATTCATTGAATTAAATAAGAAACCATGAGATGATAAAGATATAAACAAATTAGTGAACGAATGTTTGGTGAAGAATAGCATATTTACGTGCTTTCAACGTAATTTATCACAAAATACATATTAACTACAAATTGGAAAGAGTAATGTCACCTGGCAGACAGGCTCCGAAACAAGTGGTGAAAGTGCACATCAAGCAACAAGACCCAAGTGTCATGAGGAGAGCATTGGACAGGTCCAAGCCACGGGTCATTCTACAAAATAATTGGCCTGTAAATGCCAAAAGGGTCAAGTTCATGAAAGTCAAGGAAATTCTGAGAAACTTTTCCAGACTGAGTCAGACTTAAAAAAAAAAAAATGACCAAAAATAATATAATGACTGTTTCTCAACTAAGTCCCCATTCTGTAAAAGTATTATTGGAACAATTGAAAATTGGCCCTGAATATTCAATGGTAGGAATATGTCAGTATCACCGTCCCGATTTTGATTATATTATATTTTGATTATAAGACTGAAATAATACAAGTATATTTTCTGACCACAACACAGTTAAAATAAAAATCAATAGAAAAGAAACCTGGAAAAATCCTAAAGTATTTAGAAATTAAATAACATGTTTACAAATAATCATGTATCTAGAGGAAATCCTAAGAAAATTATTAAAATTTTTCAAAATGAATAAGAATGCTAACAAAGTTACAAGTTAGTAAAACTGACAAAGAAGTAAAAGCAGTTATTGATCTGTTTAACAGAACATCTATATTCATTAAACAGGTTGAATTTATAATAAAAACTCTTCCAGAAAAGAAAATTCCAGGCCCAAATTGCTTCAGTGGTATATTCTAAAAAATTGTGGTAGAAAAACATAATATAAGTCTTCTATAAACTTTTTCAGAAAATAGAGGAAAAAAGACATTTCCAACTTATTTTACTAAACCAGCAAAATCCTGGTAACTAAACCAGAGAGGGACATTACAAGAAAAGAAAACTATGGGTCAATATCTCTCCTCAGTACAGAAGTTGAATGAAACACTTGGTATCTTGAAGGAATCATTTACAGACAGAAAAAAATGGACTCCTTGAAGAAACTTCCAGCAAAGTTGCAAAGAGTTTTGAGCACAGCTTGATAAAAATAAAATTGTAAGTGGGCACAGACTAGAAGAGAAGACAAAAACAATTGGTATGTAAGAGTTCTCAGACTAGGTGATTGTCTGAGATTGTATGGTATCATTGGCAAACCATAATATACTTGTTTTCACGTGATTTTTAAAAATTGAAAGCAAATTCACATAATGTTAAAATAATTTAAAGTATACAATTCAGGGGCATTTAGTACATTCATATATATAACTATCACCTTTATCTAGTTGCATAATGTTTTCCTCACTCCAAAAGCAAACTCCATCCCCATTTGGCCTTCCCCCAGCCCTAACAACCATTACTCTATTTTCTGTATCTCTAGATTTACTTATTCTGGATATTCCATATAAAGGGAATCATACAATATGTGATCTTTTGTATCTGTTGATTTTGACCAGGGTCTTTACCCTTCATGCATCTGATTTCTTTGCCCTGAAGGCTTCAGGAGAAAACGATTTATTTTAAAATGTTAATCAGTTAATTTATGCCTAAATTAGGAGCTCTGACTTGAGCTTGCATCTTGGAGAGTTGTAAGTAGAGGTCTTAGCACCTATCTTGGAATGTTATAATGTCCGGTTTGAATTGGTGGTGGCGGTGGTGGTGAGAACAGGACTGGAATTTTCACTAGGCCATAGGCATGAAAGACCAAGCAGGGTAATCCAAAGAGAGATTTCGGACTCAGAGCAAGAGCTATGCTCTCAGAAACCGTTTCTGTAGGCATCTCCACTGTGTGGTGAACAGGCAACTGCCGGGGAAATGGAAGTGCTGCTGCTAGTTCCTGCTTGGCGGCTGCATGAGTGAGCCCATAGGTCAGTTCACTCATCTGGGTCCTGGATTTCTTATCATTATACTGAGCAGGCTGGACTACATCATGTCCAAAGTTCCTTCCTATTCTACACTTTTTGGACTCTCTCAGCTGGAATGCCATTCCCAGAAATAAATACAGTGACTGTAGGGACAGATATGGTAGCCTGGAAGGTGATGGCCACAAAAGAAAATTTCCACTGCTCTGCTATGTAATAAATTATTACATAACAGCTTATTATGAAGAAAAGAGACACACATAACAGAATAGAACCATTCAGTCAGTGCTTTTTATGAGTTACTGTACTAAACACTTAGATTTACTAATTCATTTGTATCTTACAAGAATCCATGAGGTAAAAATTATTACCCTCTGTAATATCAGAAAGCTGAAGTTTAGAGATTTTAACTTTTTAAGACAGCTAGTAAGTGGGAGAGTTGGCATGTCGCCCCATAGTTTATTTTATTTTGTAATATGTGTACCTTAAGACTATGTATTACTATGCATTAATAAGTAAAGCGATTTTTAAAACATACATCCATGTAGTGCAAGTAGGGCTGGAAGTAAATTCACTCATAGTGGTAACTAAGCAGACGTTGATGGTTTAGTCAGACAGGACACTTAGGAAGGTCATGTGAATGTTCAACTTCTAGGACCTCAAAATTTCACTCAATCAATAGTATTCCAAAAGTTACATTAAGAGGACATTGGGCACTTTTTATGGCATTCTACAGTATAGAAATTGATTTCAATTCTATGTGGTAGTGCTCCTGACCCCTAACTCTGAATCTAGAGAGCACTAATTTAAACTCTCTCCCTCTTATTTGTAACATTGTTTGCCAGGAGGGATTGAATCGTGGATTGGCACCGTGCACTTGGAAATGTCTTCAAAATATTATTAAACATATGACACTTTGCATTGGTTGTAAGTAACTTTTTAAGCATTTGTAGTTTATGAAAAGAGACTAAGCATATTTGTAGCCTTTCAACTGGCTGCTAAATGTTAACTATCTGTTTTTAGTCAGACAGTTACTATATCAATCAGAGTCCTGTAGGAAAGAAAGGGCATTCTCCAGCTGGAAACTTCAGTAAAGCGGCATTTCCAGTGTTTAAGAGACTTATTTACTGGATTAAGGAAACCGATGAGAGGTAATAAAACATGATGGGGCTAGTAATTGCAGGGAACCAACACCAATCGTAGAAGGAGCAATTAATGAAACCTTGCTGAGTAACTGGAGGTAACTTCCAGCAACCTCAAGGTCAACCTACTGGACCTGTGGACTTCTGTAGACAGGCATCTCACCTATTGTAACCCATAGGGAGGGAGCCAGTTGGATAATTGTACAGAACCTTTTCTCCCACCTCTGATTTACTGTTCATGCAGCCTATGAACAAACCTAGTCAGAAGAGGATAAGGGAACTTGCAGACAGTCAGTAAAGATCAAATCCCGGAGTGGAGAGGAGTAGAGAATGGATATAGAAAGGCAGTGGAAATATTCCAGAAATATATTTATATAGTCACATATATATTACCATCTTTCCATGCCAACTATATCCCAGAAGACGGTAGATGAAAATGGGAAAGAATCTTGGAATTGTCTTTCTGATATAAGCTCTGACAATTTCCCATGCTAAAAATGCAAACAAGGGAAGATCATTATGCATTATATATTTATAGTATGGTGTACAACAGATCAATGACAAGGAAAATAAAGGTGATTTCCTGGAAACTGATTGGAAGATGACAACTTTGCTTGGTGCTGCTAATGGGTAGTTAGTTGACTAGTTAGTGGAGCTAATTGAGCCCTTTAGGTCATCAGGCCACTGAATTTATAACTATTAATATAATTACTATTACCCATGAGCTTTGCACCTTTAAATGATTTCTTATTGCTCATTACATTCTTTTCTGATTGAAGTACTCTCTTTAGCATTTCTTGTAGGAAAGGTCTTGTGTTGAAATTCGAAATTCAACTGCTTTTGAAATTCTTCTGCTTTTGTTTGTTTGGGGACGTTTTTATTTCTCCTGCATGTTTAAAGGATATTTTTGTCAGGTAAAAGTTTTTTTCTTTTAGCACTTATTTATTTTTATTATACTTTACGTTCTGGGATACATGTGCAGAATGTGCAGGTTTGTTACAAAGGTAAACATGTGCACGGTGGTTTGCTGCATCCATCAATCTGTCATCTACATTAGGTATTTCTCCTAATGCTATCCCTCCCCTAGCCCCTCACCCGCCCCCACCACTGACAGGTGGTGGTTCAGCACTTTAAATATGTCATGCCACTTTCTTATTTTTATTATTATTATTATGCTTTAAGTTCTGGGATACATGTGCAGAACATGTAGGTTTGTTACATAGTTATACATGTGCCATGGTGGTTTGCTGCATCCATCACCCCATCATCTACATTAGGTATTTCTCCTAATGCTATCCCTCCCCTAGCCCCCCATTCCCCAACAGGCCCCGGTATGTGATGTTCCCATTCCTGTGTCCATGAGTTCTCATTGTTCAACTCCCACTTTGAGTGAGAACATGCAGTGTTTGGTTTTCTGTTCTTTTGTTAGTTTGCCGAAAATGATGGTTTTCAGCATCATCCATGTTCCTGCAAAGGACATGAACACATCCTTTTTTTATGGCTGCATAGTCTTCTATGGTGTATATGTGCCACATTTTCTTTAAAAAATGATGGTTAGATGCCGCAATATAGGTGGCAATGCCTTAACAATATGTGTGTCGTCAGGCCTGATGGCCTCTTCCATTCTTGTCAAGGTGAGTGCTAAACTTCTCTTCTTTTATACAACACTGTCACGCCTCTTTCTCCTAGCCTATTAGATTTCCACAGCAAGCTTTTGTTTGCTTCCAGAGGTTTTGGAACTTCATTGGATGTTGTTTCTTTTTAACACTGCTTTTAGGATCCCCCCCCTCCCTTTTTTTTTTTTTTTTTTGAGACAGAGTTTCGCTGTTGTTACCCAGGCTGGAGTGCAATGGCACAATCTCAACTCACCACAACCTCCACCTTCTGGGTTCAAGCAATTCTCCTGCCTCAGCCTCCCGAGTAGCTGGGACTACAGGCGTGCAGCACCATGCCCAGCTAATTTTTGTATTTTTAGTAGAGTCGGGGTTTCACCTTGTTGACCACGATGGTCTCAATCTCTTGACCTCGTGATCCACCCACCTCGGCCTCCCAAAGTGCTGGGATTATAGGCATGAGCTACCACACCCAGCCAGGATTCCTTTTTTATCCTTGACCTTTGGGAGTTTGATGATTAAATGCCTTGAGATAGTCTTCTTTGGGTTAAATCTGCTTGGTGTTCTATAACCTTCTTGTACTTAGATATTGATGTCTTTCTGTAGCTTTGGACGTTCTCATTCTTGTTCCTTTGAATAATCTTTCTACCCTCTTTTTCTAGCTCCTTTTTAAGGCCAGTAACTCTTACATTTTCCCTTTTGAGGCTATTTTCTAGGTCCTGTAGGCATGCTTCATTTATTTTTTTATTTTGCCTCCTCTGACTGTGTATTTTCAAGTAGTCTGTTTTCAAGCTTTTTTTTTTTTTTATCAATTGTGCTATTAAAAGACCCTGATGCATTCTTAGGTATAGAAATTACATTTTTTGGCTCCAAAATTTCTGCTTGATTCTTTTTCAATTATTCTAATCTCTTTGTTAAATCTGCCTGATATAATTCTAAATTCCTTCTCTGTGTTATCTTGAATTTCTTTGAGTTTCCTCAGCATAGCCATTTTGAATTCTCTGCTGAAAGGCCACATATCTCTGTTTCTCAGGGATTGGTTCCTGGTAGCTTATTTAGTTCATTGGGCAAGGTTATGTTTTCCTGCAAGGTATTGACACTTGCAGATGTTCTTTGGTGTCTGGGCAGTGAACAGTCAGATATTTACTGTGGTCTTCTCAGTCTGGACTTGTTTGTACCCATCCTTCTTTGGAAAGCTTTCCAGATATTCTAAAGGACTTTGTGTTGTGATCTAAACTGAATCTACTTTAGGAGGAGCCCCAAGCCCAGTAACACTGTGGTTTTTGCAGACTTGTACAGGTACGCCCTTGATGGTCTAGGACAAGATCCAGAAGAATTATCTGGATTACCAGGCAGAGACATGTTCTCCTCCCTTAATTTTTCCCAAATAAACAAAGTATCTCTTTCTGTTCCGAGACACCTAGAGCTGGTGGTGATGTGACACAAGCACCCCTGTGGGTTAGACCTGAAACCAGCACAGCACTGGGTCCTGCCCGAGGCCTGCTTTAACCACTCCCTGACTACTGCCTAATTAGCAGGTGGCAATGCCAATCTTTCCCTTCAGGGCCAGTTCTCCCAGGCCCTGGGCATGTCCAGAGGTGCTGTCTGGGAACCAGGTATTAGAATAAAAAACCTTAGACATCTACCTAGTGTTCTACTGTACTGTGGCTGCAGCTGAGCTGGCACTCAAACCGCAAGACACAGTCCTCCTCACTCTTCCCTTTTCTCTTTAAAGGCAGAGGAGCCTCACCCCATGGCCACTACCACCACAGCCCCACAAGGAATAGTGCAGGCTACCACTGATGTTCTTTTAAGGCCCAAGGGCTCTTTAGTCAGCTTGTGGTGACTACTGCCTGGCCTGGCACTCACCCTTCAGGTCAATGAGATCTCCTCTGGCCCAGGGCAGGACCAGAAATGCCATTCAATAGCCAAGTCCTGGAACTGGGGACCCCAGGAGCCTGCTTGGTGCTCCATCACCCTGTAGTTGAGTTAGTACCTAAGGTGTAAGACAAAGTCCCCTTTGCTTTTTCCTCCATTTTCTCAAGTGGAAGGAGTCTCACCCTGTAGCCATTACAGCTGGGAATTGCTGAACGTCACTTGAAGCCAACAAGTTTCAGAGTCTCACTCAGGATCTTTAATGTAGAACCTGGGTATTATTGCTGGTTATTCAGGTCCCAAGGGCTTTTCAGTTAGCAGGTGATGAATTCTGCCTGGACTGAGTCCTTCCCTTCAAGACACCAGGTTCCCTTTTGGCAGGGTGTATCTAGAAATATTATACAGGAACTAGGGCCTGGAAAAGGGGTTTCAACACCCTGACAGGTGCCCTATCCTGCTGTGTCTGAGCCGTATCCATGATCTAAGACAAAGTCTGCTCCCACTCTTTTCTCTCCTCAAGAAGACAGAAGGGGTCTCTTTGAAAGCTATGAACTGTGCAGCTTGGCGTTAGGGGAGTGGTGATGCCAGCACTCCCTTAGCCACCCTCTGGTCTCTCTGTATGTTGCATGCCCCCCAGTTTATTGTCTCTGGGTCCAGCTTAACACTACGACTTACCTAGGAGTTGCTGTCCATGTCACCTAGATTGACTTACTAGTTTATGTAGAGCTCCAGAGCACTTTAGCCCAGAGTTGTAAGGGCTGTAGAAACTCACATTTGGACCACTGGGATCAGCAATTTCACTCTGGCTAGGGATGGTTTAAATGCTCTCTCCCTTGAGCATCAGCTCAGTTTGGTTCAGTTTTGTTTTCTGTTATAATAGGGCAACACTGAGTTCAGTGTCTCATAAATGCTGTATCTTCCTCTCCCCAGCATGGGAAAATGCTCTCTGCACCTCACTGCCACTGTGGGGGATGGGGGAGGGTGTCATTGGTGATTGATTCAAGATTGCTTTTCCTACCTCTTTAGTGCCTCTTTCAGTGATATGAAGTTAAAACCAGGTACTGTGTGGGTGCTCACCTTGTTTTTTGTTCTTATGAAAATACTTTTTTTTTGGTGTTGTTAGTTCTTAAGTTGGTGTCCTTATTGCGGGGGTTGGGGGGGCAAGTGGTGGAGCTTTCTATTCTGCTATCTTTCCCTGCCCCTCTGTCCTTACCCATTTATTTGTGTGTCCTTTGGACCTCAGTCACATGTCCTTATGCCATCTCTAGCTGTCTAAGACCTCTAGTGTTGTATAAAATCTAGGTCTTTGCCCATTAAATAGCCCATCATCTGAATATATCTTTAAGTTTTAAGATCTCAGCTCTAACTAAAACACTTCTCCTGCGTCCTATTCTGATGGAGTCTGCATAATAACTGGATATACAAACTGAGAACCAATCCAAGAAAGGCTGTGTTTAATGGTGAATACATGTTTAATACAGCACCCCATTTGCAATATGAAAGGGATATTCAATAGTTCAACACACTGAAGTGTCTGAAGTAGGGGACTCTGCTTACACCTATCACATTGCAATGGAAACCATCCTGACTACTCTGTAGTATGAGATCAAGGTTTTTTTTAAAAAATTGTCTTTAAATGGCCATTCATTTATTCAAAGAAGCATTTATTCAAGGTCTGCTACATGCCAGGTATCATGTAGTATTAAGCACAATGATAAAAATCACTTTTGACACCCATGAGATGCTCACAATCAAGATGTTCTGGACCATGTCAAAGATATACAATGCATTGAGGTCTATGAGTGTGGAATGCCAGGGGTTACTGCAACAGAGAATAGGAGAAATGGTTTCAAATTGGGAAGTAGAAGGTGACGGAGTTGCAGAAAAAGCTTTCTGAGGTGACTCTTGAACTGAGCTCTGAGGAGCTAGTAGGAAAGAGGTAAGTGAAAAAAGGGGGAAAGATTTTTCAGACCTCAAATTGGCATGACAGCATGGGACATTTTGGGAATAGGGACAGGGAATTCCTGTCTAAAGTATCAAAAGCTAAGACTGGAAAGTGAGTCAGAAACAGAATCTTTCTTTTTCTTTTTCTTTTTTTTTTTTTTTTTAAGATGGGGTTTTACCATGTTGGTCAGGCTGGTCTTGAACTCCTGACCTCAGGTGATCCACCCGCCTTGGCCTCCAAAGTGCTTGGATTACAGGAGTGAGCCACCACACCCGGCCTAGGAACAGAATCTTAAGATCACTGTAGGTCAAGCACAGGACTTTGGACTTTATACTGAAGACTATGAGGAGTAATTTTAATAAGGGTCAATACAGCCCAATAAATTATACACAATGTGTTTAAGTTTGTATTACTCTGATAAAAGTTGTAATGGAGACAACACTTTTTAATCACTGTGCTATTTCATTTTCATTCTAGGCATACAAGAAGACATTCTCCAGATCACCTGGCATCTAGCTGGGGCCACAAGATTTTTCTGGCCAATGGAATATGTGCAGAAGTGATGTATGTGACATCAGGGGCCAGCCTCTAAAAATCCTGTGTCATGCCCCACACTGTGTCCATTCACCTCTCAGTTATCTAAATGGAAGTAATGCAAGGAAGGACTCCAAGGAAGCCCTAGGGGTAATGAAGCTACATGATGGGAGAATTGCTGCCACCACAGTTCTGGAAAAAGAGTTGTTCAGGAGAACAGCCACTGGACTACGGCATGTCAATGGAATAAACATTTGTTGTGGTAAGTGGCTGGGATTTGACAATTGCTTTTTAAAACAGATAACATGAATTACACTAATATAAGTCCATCAGATCCTCAGCAAGGGAGTTATGTAATCAAGTTTGTTATTAAGATTCCTCCAGCAGCTACATAAAGAACTAAGTAGAGATGGTGTGAGAAACTTGAAGGGAGGGAAGTCAGTCGTGATTAGTGCAACCAGGCACACAGGAAACGATGTCTTGGATCACAGCAGCGGCAGTAAAGATGGCAAGACGATGCAATTACAGGATATTAACAGGACAGAGTCAAAGTGGTCAGTGATTAGCTTCATGGATGTAGAGCAGTGGTTTTTAACCTTGGCTGTATTCTAGAATCACCTTAGAAGCTTTTAACAAGGGTAATTACCCAGCTGCATCTGAGATCAGCTTGATCAGAATGAATATGTTTTTAAACTCCCCAA